TAATGCCCAAAGATGGGTTCTGTCTTTTGATGCCTTTGGAAAACCTAACTGCCTTGTGAGAGGGGTGAAGTGGAAAAAAGATGCGATTGAGAGCATTCGCTGCTCTCCTTGCTGTTTTATAAGTGTGTTGACCATCTCCCAACAACAATGATGTAGGAGATGGAAGCGATGCCTTTTTTCGTCCGGAAATGTATTTCCATGCGAGTGGTTCGCCTGGATTTAACTTGCTGATGCGACGTAGATACGTGTTGCGCAAGCGCTCTCGGAGTAGGTGGAAGAATTGACTCCTTGTCCGTTGCATTTCTGCCTCACGGTCGGGCGTCGGTAACTGTAGATAGCGGGCCTTGCTGTCGGTAGCGATCCGCTCTGCTTCCATGAGAGCGTCGTCCCAAAGCCTGGGACCATCCTTGTGCATGCCGCGGGGGCAATTTCGTCGATACGAAGTAATAAGCGCTCTCGTGAAAGCTTTAATGCTGGTGGACTGCTTTTTATAGTCATATGCCGGAAGTTGTGCGTCGAAGTCCTTGATGAATAAATCCCATTTACACTTCCCCCAACTGTGGAATGTCTTAGGTGCCGAAGGTATGGTATCCATAAATGCCTGATGCAGCGTAAATGTTAGCATATAATGATCACTAAGCGGCGACACAGAAGCTGACCAATCTGACACAGTCAAATGCTTTGACCATGTCAGATCGATACAGGATCGTTCTCTTGTGCCACGAGCATACGTGATCTCACCAGGGGTGTTAACCAAGGTGAGTCCCGCATCCGTGCACAGTTCTAAAAACTCTGCGGCAACCTCGCTTGAAGAAGACTCCAAGAATGGCTCCCACTGTGGGTGATGCATGTTGAAATCCCCGCACAGAAGGAGCGGCGACGAGGCTGGAAGGCAGCTTAGTAACCGCCTGAAGGATTGCGTTACTTGCGGTGGTGGTCTCATATAGGCACTCGCTACAATAAGATCACGGTTCTGGTCCAGAGCGACCTGGACCACCACCACTTCAAGGCTGGTGTCATGCTGGGGGATGGTGAGAGGTATACGCTTGGAGCGGAGAGTTTTCCGCACCAGCACCGCCACACCGCCTCCCTTGCCGATGCGCGACTGTGCATAGAGCACATAATCTCCAGTATGCATGCTGGCGATCTGCTCCGACGACTTCCAAGTCTCCTGGATGGCTATTATGTCTGCTCCTTGAGCCATTAATGTTGCGAGTTTTGACGGCGTGAGGCAAGAAACGTTCATCTGGGGTACTGCTATGGGGCCTGGGTGCTGCTCAATGTCTCCGCTTAGCAGTAGCTTTTGTCGTTGCGCGTCACATACGGCACGCAAAAGGTATGTATAGCGCTGATAAGCGCCGATGGAATTCAGCAGCGGATGGAAATACCGCTTCGCGGGCAGCCATGTAAATGGCTCCATCTGGTGCCCTTCCGACCCGTTTGTGCGGCGCCTCCTGCCTCTCCACGTGCAGCGGATTGGCAGCAGGCACTTAGCCTCCTCTCTGGCAAAGAGTGCTAGACCCTGGCACCACGTTGAGGTGGCCGGCTGAGCCAGGGGGTTGGAAGCCCACGAAAGGTCTTGCACACGTACACACTCTCATGCCACTGTTGCCCAGAAGTGGGGTGCAAATCGAAATTCAGCTGTTTTTTTTTTTTTTGTGTTGGCGCAATTACTTGTTTATTTATTATTAACTGACAACATTCTGTCCGGCGTGCTGCTTCGATTGGATTGTGTGGGATTGCTCTCTAGCGCCATCGGACAAAACAGGCTGACGACTTTTTTCTGCTCGTACCAGTCGTAGTAACTACACCTCCAATGTGCAGCTCTGGTAAGCGTACGATGGAATACAGCAGCAAGGATAACCTTACCCTGCGGGCAGCCATTACAACTGGCTGCATCATGTGCCCTTCCGGCCCGTAAAACCAAGTAACAAGTACTCATCGGGTTTGAAGCGTGGACAGCAGGCACTTAGCCTCCTCTCTGGCAAAGAGTACTAGACCCTGGCACCACGTTGAGGTGGCCGGCTGAGCCAGAGGGCTGATGATTTTGTGTGATTAAATGCCATCTTGTGCGCACGTGTTTTTTGCTTGTTCTGTTGATGTGCACTCAAACAGCGAGGGATCCGGAACCATGCGTGCGTGTAATTTGTCCTGCCATGTGAACTGCGGGCAACACCGAGGGGCTGTCACTTTTACTCCGTAGAGTTGTTGTGTCTCTTTGCAGGGTTGGCAGGTAAATTGCATGCGGCCTGCTATTGCTGGTGTGTTCAAATGCCACTCCATGCGAATACTGTGCTTCAGCGAGTGAAGGGGATGATTCGGTTTGT